GCTCAAGCCAGGATTCCTTGCCACGTCGAATCCTCTCACCCCTCCATCCACATTCCAGGATGCCACCTGGTCTCCTCTTGATTGGATATGTTTTCTGTGGTGTAGCCGACCATCAAAACAGCTTCTGTCGCAGACTCCCTGCATTCACCTTGCTCTTCTAATTGGAGGATGGCGTTCAACATCACTGCCAAACTCTCATCCACTTGGTTGTAGTCCAGGTCCCTCAAGCGTCGGAACAATTCATCGAGCGCAGACCTCTTTAGCGCCGCAGGCATGGACTTCCAAAATTGATCTGCCTACTTTTTACGATTTCTAAATGATCTCGCGCACTAACCAAATTGTGTATTACCGTACCAACCAACTTGTGTATTACCGTACCAACCAAATTGTGTAATACCGTACCGACCAACTTGTATATTACTGTACCCAATTGAGTACTTGAGAACTATCTCTTGCAAATGTTGCTGATCGTGAACTTTTTCAAGACCTTATTTTCTCTTTCCAATGAGTGTGTATGGGTCGTCAACTCGATTTAACAAATCAATCTGAAAGTAAAATCCATTTTTTAGACTAAGATGTTATATTTCTAACCTAAACCCTTCCATTATTGTAGTTAAAACGTCATCCCTCTATCGGTTTTACTAAAATATTCCAATTTGAAGTTTTTTAGGAGCATGCAGATTCCTTTAATGCTTAAGCACCGTCACTCTTTAAATTATGATTGTCATGCCAATTACGTTAAAATCCATCTACCTGCTCAGAGATCCCCATGTACCTTCACCCGAGATCCCCATCTACCCCCAACTCAACACCTCTGTTGTCCACATAAAGCTCAAGCGATACTCAAGTAGTATTTCTTGTGTAAGTGTACCATTATCTCCGTTTCTGCGAAGACCACGTGTAGGAAAGCATGTAGTTCCCTCGGACTCAACTTGCCCCTGTTTGGGTCATAGACCGGCATCGGGACCTCCATTATTCTTCTTTCGATCATGAAGTCTCGCAGTCTTGTTAGTGCCAGTATCACATGCTCAGGGTCTATCGTGTTCCTTCCACTGACCCTCGTTACCAGAAAGCACAAGTACTTCCCCGGATCTTGTGAGACTGATGGGGGGAAGAGCAGCCATTCCTTCCAACCCCGGTCTCTGCCTAAATAGTAACGCAGCGTTCTGATACTCCCTGCTGAAGTCGGCTTCTAGTCTTGATCTGAAACTCATGTCCACTGTTATACAAATCGCGCTGGTCCTGTCTGATTGTCATGATTTTCTCTGAGTATTCAAACGGAATTTCGAATTTTGTCTTGAAGTTCCTTCCTATGGTAGGCTCAGCCTCCTCCTCATCCAGTTCCAGCTCACTTGTTTCCCTCACTTCCTTGAGCTTCTTTATCATCTAATTTTCGGTGTGGTTAAGTCCTACACCCACTCCCCGGACAAAAATATTTATCGACGTCCCGTCGATGATGCTGGGGCTAAATTATCTGGTGGTATTTCGAGCGACCTGTCGGTTGCCGTCCAACCGAAGAGGGGACCTTCTGTTTTCAAGTGTTGTTCTACTGACACGTCGACCTGCTGGATGTTTTGCCCTTCATATCCTTTGCTCCTGACATCACGCATCCACTCTAGTATTCTCAAGTTTGTGTTATCCCTCCTCTCTATCTCGCTCTGCTCCACCTATGTTTCTTGTTCTGGTGTGGAGAAGTCTGCCTTCGGGTAGTGTTCGCTGTCGTTGATGATTTGCCTTTCATCGTCCGCCACCAAAACGCTAACACTCAGTAACTGGTCGCCCAATTCATCAGGCCGTATCTTGTCAATCAAGAAGTCATCCCCGTACCTATTGTACCTCATGCATGTCCGTCTACGAATATCACTCCTAGTTCTCACACTGGTGTTGGTAGCTCTGGTTCCGTCCACTTTGGCAATTCGTCCTGCTCCGTATCATTCCAGTCTTCTTCTACAAAGGATTCCGCCTCTGAATCCGCTTCTATCTTTTCATTATCGCCCAAACTCAAACCATCGTTGCCATCGTTTTTCTCTCTGGTGCCTTTTCACCTCACTCGCTGGCTCCACCAGTAGGTACTCGTGTCCCTCCATGTTCTGCGGTACGAACCAGTCTTCTGGTGATGAGATATGAGGGTTCAGATTTTCTTAATGCGCTACTCGCCCCGTACTCAAGCGGTAGAACCATCCTTGTTGGTGTACTTCTGTTATCATGAACGGCCCTCTCCATTTCTTAAGTAGTTTCTTTGTCCTCTTGGGAGGTATGAAATTCTGGAAGACCCATACGTACTGGCCCACTGCATATGGTTCCGCTTGCAATGTCTTTTCATCGTATTTCTTGCGCTGTCTCATTTGTGCTTGCGCAGTGTTCCTCCTGTAGAGCTCGTTTAGTTCCTGCTGTCTCCTGATCGCTTCTTTCACATAAGCTTGAGGCGACGTCTTTTTCCCCTCGTATTCCGGGTAAAAGAATGTTAGAGGCATTGCTTTTTCCTTGCCCGTCAACATAATGAATGGGATAATTCCAGTCGTTGGGTGTTGCGTACTGTTGTACGCCCATACCACCCGCGGCAGATATTTATCCCAATCTGTCATATACCTTGAGCAGTATACCCTCAGCATGTTCACCAACGTTCTATTCTGCCTCTCCAATAACCTGTTGGTCTGGGGATGGTAGGTCGTTGAGTGCGCTTGAGCTATGTGCGACCTCTTCATCGATTCTTTCGTCAGGTCTCCCCACGAAGGCTTTGCCATTGTCCGACTGAAATGTCATGGGACAACCAAACCGCGATATCCAATGTGTGATCAGGTGGTCACAAGTCTCCTCTGCCGTGGCTGTCTGACACGGCACCGCTTCTGCCAGCTTTGTGAAGTGATCTATAATGACCAGTATCTGGTTATATCCCGACTCTGTCATACAGATTTGTTGGTGGTCTATTTGCACAATTTCGTTGAATTCCGAGCTCTCAACAGACTTGAGTGGGAACTTCATCTTCCTTGAGTCTTTCACTTGCAGGCATGCCAGGCATGCATTTACCCATCTCTCGCAAGCTTTCCTTAATCCTAGCCAATCAAATTGTGAAAAGTTCTCTGTTGCACCTTGTCTATCACCTGGTGCCCTGTTTGATCGTGCAACCTGAATAACACTTCAGTCTGATACAACTGTGGCAATATGATGAGGTTATGCTTGTGTATTATCTTTTCCTCATCTTTCCTCTTGCACGCTACCACCCGATCAGCTGTGTGATAGAGTAAATATTTTCTTTCTTTGTAGAACTGGCTCAAGATCCTGTAGCTGTCTTTTCCAGGTCCCCCTTCTCTTTGGACCCCGTCCGGATTCATTTGGAGAGGTTACTTGTCATCTTGTCATTCTTTTGGGCCCTTATTAGATCCGACGGCCTATATCTCGCTTTGACATGTTCTTTTAGTGTCATTATCTGACCACTCATTTCCCCAGGGTTGTGGATGTCATCTTTCAGCTTTACGCACACTATCCTCTTCATGAACTTTCTATCGTCTTCTGGTACCAGATTTGTGCTGACATTCGAGTTGCATGATAATTCCCTAAACGGCTTCCTCGATACCGCAATTTTCTCAAGTTCTTCACCTCCTCGCACTTCTTGCTGATCCAAGTTGTACATTCCTGAGGAGGGATCCGTCTCTAGCTCCCTGTCGTGGTGTCTAATCTTATCTTCCGCCAGTATTATGCATAGACTATCTTGGTCATCGCTGCTCTTTTCCGAATCTTCATCCCATCCTTCACACTCTCCGGTCAATTTTTCTTCTCCAGCATATTCTTCCACTGTGGATCACTTCCCGGACTCTTGACCTATTCCACGGTGTTCAGCTTCCTCCTTAAATGCCACTTTCTTTTTCCTAACCCGAGTCTGCTCAAGTGTGTCATCAGGGGTTTTATCAACCAGTGACTGCACTATTTCTTTCCCATCAGGATTACTTTCTTTTAATGAGTCTTCGCAACCAACTGTTTCATTCCTTCGCAGTAACGTGACTTCCGGTTCCTCCTTACCCTTTCCCTCGACCACGGGTGTATCATCAGCCAGTTTCTCGAGTAATCTCATCAAGTCTTCATCTATCTGTGCATCTCCTATGTATACCTGGTTGAGATCATAGCCTTTTGCCCTGAGCGTCTCCCTCACAATTTTTGACTTGAGTAATATCCCTATCGGCATCCCTCGGGTCTTCTTTAAGATTGTTTTCACTGGAGGCTCCTTTAATAACTCGGGGTGATCTTCTATCGGTTTGCCTGACTTTTCGAGCCATCTCGTGAGCGGAAGACTATCATACGTTTCCTTATCCATGAAGGAGAAGCCATCTTTGGTTTCTGGCCTATTCGCCTCCCTCTGTTCCTGTCTCTGTTAGAACTCCGTCTTCTTACTCAAGCTAGCGGCATTTTGATGTTTGTGCTTTGTTCTATGCTCAATTATCATGTTGTACCCGTCCAGGCGAACTATCCACTTTCCAATGTAGCTCTGGTTCATTGAGTACGTCTTCAACCAGCTGAGTGCGCTGTTGTCGACTCGCAGCTTGAATGGCTCACTGCCTAGGTATGCTCTATATTTCTCGACAAAGGTAACCACCGCGAACATCTTTGCTTTCGGCGCCGCGAACTTCTTTTCCGTATCTCTCAAGACTTTGCTCCCGTACGCTATTGGTCTTAAGACTGTCTTTCCGTTCCATTCCTGTTCTTTATGGAGAATGCCAGAAATCGCGACTACCGACGCATCCGTGTCTAGCACGTACATCCCTTTTTCCGTGGGCATCCCTAGCACCGGTGCCTCGCACAACTCTTTCTTTATTCTCTGGAATGATTCTTCAGCTGCATTGTTCCACGTGAGCTTCTTGCCTTTGTGTCTCATTAATTGCTGCATCGGGTCTACCGTGTCCGCGTAGCCCTTGATGAAATCCCTGTAAAAGTTCGCAAAACCCAGGAAGCTCATCAACTGGTGTACTTTTTTGGGTTAGGGTCGGGGTTAGGGTTAGGTACCGCTTCTACTGCATCGCTTCTACTGCATCTGGATCTGGTCTGATGTCGTGCCTGTCCACCATCCTTCTCAAGTATTTTATCGAATACTTGAATATTTCGCACTTTGATGGTATGCACTTTAGCCCCGACCTCTTCATGCATGCAAACACCTCATCCAGTCGCTCGATGTGATCTTCCAGTGTTGGCGTCGCTATAGCCACGTCATCCACGTAGCATCTTACTAAATTGCCGTACTTCTTTGTCATGGCTTTCAATGCATGTGCCATCAACCGTTGAAATGTAGCCGTGGCATTGCAAAGACGAAACGACATTCGTTTCCATTGAAACAGCACTAGCTCGCAGGCGAACCCTGTTTTGTCCCTGTCCTGTTTCCTCAGTGGGACCTGCCAGAAAGCCGAACCTAAATCAAGAGTCGTAAAAACTTTTGCATCACCTAACTTCGAGAGGTTCTCATCAACCCGAGGTATGGGATAGGCATCCTTCACCGTGATGGAGTTCACACACCGAAAGTTACAACAAAACCTCAATTGGTCGTCTTTCTTTTTGGCCATCACTACTCCACACGCCCATGGTGATTTGGATGGTTCTATCATATCATACTCTAGTAATGTCTCTATCTCTTTCCTACACTTATCCGATTTGTGTGGTGTCATGCGCCTCGCCCCCTCCCTGTGCGGTACCGCAGACTCCTCAAGCTATAGTTCATGTTCAACAAAATTGCAACATCCAATGTCCGCCTTATGTCTCGAAAAAACATCCTCGTTCCGCTCTAGAACGTCCTTGATGGCCTCGAGCTGTTCATCCGTTACCTTACCCCTTAAGTGCTCTGGTTTCTCGCCGAAGCCTAAAACTTTTCAATAGCGGACCAACTCAGCTTGACGTAGCTGAGATTTTACTTTAACTTTGATTCAACGAAGATATGACTGTAGATCAGAGGGAGGGGAACAGCTTATACCTGCTTCATTGTGTATACCAAGACAATGAAGTTGAACATCTTTTATTTAAGAAGAAAAGTCTTGCAAATGTCAATACAACTTCAATGGGTTTTTGGCGTGTGCCTGCAGCGAGTATTTAATGCTAGCATTACAATACAAGAACTCTAAAACGTTGTATCGCAATATTCGCAATTTTTTTACTCGTTGAGTTTGTGCAATGAGCCTTGATCCAGTCTCTATCTGTCTAAACCAGAGTCACAAGGCTCACCCAACTGCTGCTTCTTAATGTGGATCAATATTACAAGCTGTTTTGAAAATTTGGATAATTCGATTTAAAAGTACATTACATAAAAGAGGGATTAACCCCGCGTAGATTAAATCAAACATTTGAAACAATCTTTGTTGTTTTAAATCAGTTTTTTGGCGGTTATTAAATTTCATTCCATTTTTCTTTCCACTAAGTTGCTCGTTGCAAGCAACATTGCCGCCCACCTTGAATGAGCCAAGTTCATTCAACACTGACAGGGAGTTTCCTTAGTTTTATGCAAGGCCGGACGTAGCAGCCTCTCGCGGTTCTGACCTTAGCTGATCGACATTGGCTGTCTCTCCCAAGGTAGACTTCCACAACCCGAGCTAATGGCCATTGTAAGGGGGGTTGGTTTTCGTCCATCAGGAGCACAACATCACCAACTTCAAAATTTCGTTGTTTTGAAGTCCATTTCTTCCGTGGCTGCAGAGAAGACAAGTACTCCTTGCTCCATCGCTTCCAGAAAACTCCAATGAGTTTCTGCATATGTGCCCAGCGTTTGGCTGGATGAGTTTCAAAGGGCTGGAGTGTACTTGTCGTCAGTGGGGGCACTGGTATTGGCAGGTACTGCATTTCTTTCCCTGTCTCCATCATAGCTGGTGTTAGGGTTCGTAGGTCCAGAACGTCGGTCGAAATCGGGAGGAGTGGTCGGGAGTTGAGGATTGCTTCAATGTCGCATAGTAGAGTAGAAAGTTCCTCGTATGTCAAAACAGTGTTCCCCATGACTCTTCGCAGATGTGATTTCGCAAGTTTCACGCCCGATTCCCAAAGTCCACCAAAGTGAGGAGCTCCTGGTGGAATCATTGTCCAAGTGATTCCAATCTCATCTGCGGCACTTGGCATTGATTGTGTTCCGAACTTCTTGGTTAGGTTCATTTGCAGTTGCCTTAGTTCATTTTTGGTTCCAACAAAGTTCAGTCCATTGTCTGAGTACATCCTTGCTGGAGCACCACGTCTAGCACAAAATCGTCTCAAGGCAGCAGTACAAGACTGGGAGGACAAACCCGATGTTAGCTCCAAATGTATGGCCTTTGTTGTGAAGCAAACAAACAAAGCCAAATATGACTTTGACAGCTGTTTGCCATTCAGTGTCACAAAAGGGCCAGCAAAGTCCACGCCAGTGTGAGTGAATGGAGGCGAAGGCGTTATTCGTTCTTTGGGTAGGTCTCCCATCAATGGTGGATTTGATCGTGCGTTGAATCGTTGGCACTTCACACAGTTTCGTATGAGGTGACGAATTGCTGATTGCGCGTCCACAATCCAGAAATGTCGTCGAAGTTCAGCAAGGATCGTATTTGCGGGAGCATGAATATACTTCAGATGAATGTCCTGCAGGATGAGTTTGGCCAGTCGACTTTTCTTGGGTATCACGATTTGGTTGCGCTGATCATCTGCGAGAGTTTGGTTCTGACTCAGTCTCCCGCCCACCTTGATGAGTCCGTCATCAACGAGGGGGTATAGTCGCAGAAGATGGCTTTTCTTCGCAACTGATTCGCCAGCATTCAATGCCCTTAGTTCATCACTGAAGAACTTAGTTTGTTCGTTTCGTATTAGCTTCAGAAGGGCGTTGCGTCTATTCGTCAAAGAAGTTGGATGAACGTAACTGCCATCTTCTGGGTGCTTCTGGTTTCGATGTGCAAAAAAGGCAACATAGCACAGTACACGAATGCACTTCTCTAGACTGCTGAATTTTTCCAGATCTAATAGTGCGTCCAAAGAAGGCTTGACCAATTGGCAGCTGTTGGCAACTGCGTTTTTCTTTCTTTCAGAACCAACTTTTGTTAGCTTTGGTTGGTCTGGAATCCGAAGTTCGGAGAGCCAGCTCGGTCCATGCCACCACAGTGAAGAGTTTTTCAGCGTCATTGCATCGAGTCCACGAGTTGCAGCATTCGCTGGGTTTTCCTCACTTCGTACATGTCGCCAGTTGACTGGTTTCAAAACCTCCTGTACTTCATGCACTCGGTTGCGAACAAAAGTGTTCCAGACGTTTGGGGTCTCGTTGATCCAACAAAGTACAATCGTGGCATCTGTCCAACCGAAAACTTCCTTCGGATTCCGTCCTATCTTTTGAAGTGCTTTCCTCGTATGGTCCAGCAACTTGCATCCTAGCACAGCTGCACACAATTCCAATTTGGGGATCGTCAACGGTTTCAAAGGTGCCACTCTTGATTTAGCCACAAAAAGATTGGTTGACTTCGTCTTTGTGTTCCTGACGTAGATACAACTGGAGTATGCGGTTTCTGATGCGTCACAAAACAAATGAAGCTCAAAACTGTCCTCCACAACATGTCTCGGTATGTCAAAATTCTCCACATTGTGAACTTTAGTCCTCCACCTTAGAAACGTCTCCATCATATCATCGGGGAGTTTGTCGTCCCAATTGATTCCCCGCGACCAAGAGGATTGCATGATGAGTTTCAACGGAAGCGTCATCGGAGTCAGCCAGCCCAGAGGATCAAAGATCTTAGAGATGTCTGAGAGTAGAGATCGTTTTGTCATGTTCTCCTTCAGATCGTGGGCTACTTTGAAGACGAAGACATCGTTTGTCGGAAGCCACTTGATTCCTAATGCTTTCACAGAGTAGTCTTTTGCTGAGAACTCGTGTTCGTTTTCGCGCAACTCACTGGGCAAGGATTCCATGACTTCTCTTGAGCTGCTTACAAATTTTCGTAGAGGAAACTGTTTCGTTGCTAGCTGACATCTAACGTCATTGATCAGTTTCTTCGCCGAGGGTATGTCATCTGCGCCAGTCAACCAGTCATCGACGTAGAAGTCTCAACTGATTGTTTCTTCGACACAAGAATGCTTTCCTGCTTCTATGAGTGATCGAACAGAGTGATAGCAACTGCTAGCAACTCCATATGTCACTCGGGTCATCCTGTATGTATCTATTGGTTGGTCGGGCACATCTCTCCAGAGAATTTGGTGGAAGTCCTTATCCTCCTTGTTAAGAGCCACCTGACGATACATCTTTTCAATGTCTCCGGTGATTCCAATGGGGTAGCATCGGAATCTTAGCAGATGATCAAACAAATCGTCTTGAAGCTTAGGGCTAACCATCAGTGCATCGTTCAGTGAAATTCGGGTACTAGTAAGAGCACTAGCGTCAAAGACAACTCGTAGCTTTGTAGTTGTACTATCCTTTAGAACGCAGTGGTGGGGAAGGTAGTAGCATCTTTTCTCTGACATTGCGAGCTCATCTGGTGGTATGACTTCTAGGTGACCCATGTCTCGGAACTCTTTGATGAAGTCTCGGTACTGAGTGTACAAAGCCACATCCTGCTTAAGCTTGCGTTCCAGACTGAAGAATCGTTTGAGTGCATTGGCTTTGCATTCGCCGAGGGTTCCAACGGTTGTCTTGAAAGGCAAACTAACAGAGTAGCGACCATCTGGCTTAATTATGGTTGTTTTGTCGAAATGATCCTCAACAAATTCTTCATCCTTCGATCGAGGGCATCGGTTCAAAGGTAAGTCCTCAACTGTCCAAAAGCGACTGATGTCCAGATCAGACTCCTGACGGACGAAGTTTGTTTGCAAAACTCTATCAGCATTGCACTTGCTTAGTAACTGTACTGATCCACTCACAATCCAGCCAAAAATTGATTCATCCAAGGTGAGAGATCCTTCTCGTATCCGTTTACCAGTGGTGAGCTCGTTTGCCAGTTCAACGCCACATAGAAGATCAATCCTTCCTCTTTTGTCAAAAGCTGGATCCGCCAGCGCATATCGAGATGGAAGGTTATGTTCGCGTACATCCACATCGTCTCCTGGTAGATCTGATGTGACTTGAGGCATGATGAAGAAGTCTGCTCGTAGTGTGTCTTCTCCGGGCAATGACAAAGTTATCGGAGCCAGTCCTCTCGTCTCCAATGGGGGGGCAGTTCCAACTGGTTTCACTGTTTGGTTGACTGATTTACGAGGCAATCCATTCCGTCGTACGAAGCTTTCACTGACGCAGTTCAACTGCTATCCATTGTCTATCAAGGCACGGCAAATGATTTCTTGTCTGTGATGGTTGAACAGCGGTATTCTGCAAGTTCCAAGTAGGGCCGTTTTGTCAGGTTCCGTAGCACTAATTACAGTACACAGGTTGTTTCCACTCGTATGACAATCGTTCACAGTCTTTCTCTCAGTTGTAATAAGTTGTTCCCTGTGCTGACTGTCCGCGTGAAGAAGAGAATGGTGTCTTTTACCACACTGCTTACAATTGTGAGTGCTTGGGCATTTCGTTACCATATGCCCTGGGCGCAAACAATTAAAACACAGTCGTTTGGAAGTCACTTCGTCTTTCCGTGTATGTACTTTCAACTTCTTGAACTCGTTGCATGCAGTTACAGTATGAAGTGCTCCACAAAACACACATTGCTCGTCCACAGTTGTTGCTCCATACGATTGCCTTCGGTCGATTTTACTTTGGACATCAGCATGTGCTTCAATTCGAGTCGTTGGTTTCTGTAAAGTGATTGATGACTTCACTGCTTCTAGTGCCCTCGCTCGCGCACTAATGAAATCATCAAGCTCGTGTAGTTTCTGGAGCTCTCTTCCTGGGTTGTGAAGCTGCCATTGCTTTTGGCTTTCTGGATCCAGTTTCTGCTCAATCACATGAACCAGTATTGGATCCCAGTCTTGAGTATTACAGCCTTGCACTTCTAATGCAGCCACATTTTCGCGCAAACATTCCAAAAGCTTCCTAAGGCTTGTTCCATCTTCGGTTTTCAAAGTCGGGTAGCTTAACACAGCACTGAGATGCATGCTCACAATGAACCTCTTGTTGTCGAATCGGTCCACTAGAGTCCTCCTTGCGAGCTCGTAGTTCACGTCTGTTACTGCTACATTCTTGATCAGATCGTGTGCTTCTCCTCGAAGTGAAGACTTGAGGTAGTTCAACTTCTCAGCGTTTTGGAGGTTTGGGTTTCCATGTACAGCAGAATCGAACTGATCGATGAAGCTCGTCCACTCTGTATACTTCCCACTGAAGGAGGGAAGATCTATCTTAGGCAGCTTGATCTGACTTGATCTTGGTGAGAACATTGTATGAAGCCCGCTCGCTTCTCCTGTTGATCCTCTGGAAGACGCTTGCTGATCTTCCAAGAAATCATTCGTCTGCTGAATGAATTCTCGTACCTCCGCTCTGAACTCACAAGCCGTTTCAAGCTCGGCTTGCAGACGTTCGTCTGGTACAACGTCCTCTATCAATCGATCCTTTTCACTGATCGATGTGAGGGTCTCTCTTATGACCGCAAGAGAAATTCGCAAGCCGGCAAGATCAGTCACTGGATTGGACGATCGGATTGTGTTTATTCGATGCCTATGCTTAGAAATGCATGTCTTGTGACCACTTCTGGAGTGAACCAGCTTCAGGTATGCTCGTCCTGACTGATCGTTTTGTCCATGTTGCGCGCTCACAACAGCTGGTTGATCGCTCTGCTCGTTTGCATTGCTCTGACCTGGTTGCTCGTTCGCAACTGATCGTACATCGCCTTGCTCGTTCGCGAAGCTTCGTAAATCGTACTGGTCGTTGGTATCACTCATAGTTCGTGGTTCGTGGTTAGTGGTTAATGGTTAGTAGTTCTTGGTTCGTTGTGTCTGGGTCGACGCGGATCAATGGTTTCTCGCCGAAGCCTAAAACTTTTCAATAGCGGACCAACTCAGCTTGACGTAGCTGAGATTTTACTTTAACTTTGATTCAACGAAGATATGACTGTACATCAGAGGGAGGGGAACAGCTTATACCTGCTTCATTGTGTATACCAAGACAATGAAGTTGAACATCTTTTATTTAAGAAGAAAAGTCTTGCAAATGTCAATACAACTTCAATGGGTTTTTGGCGTGTGCCTGCAGCGAGTATTCAATGCTAGCATTACAATACAAGAACTCTAAAACGTTGTATCGCAATATTCGCAATTTTTTTACTCGTTGAGTTTGTGCAATGAGCCTTGATCCAGTCTCTATCTGTCTAAACCAGAGTCACAAGGCTCACCCAACTGCTGCTTCTTAATTTGGATCAATTTTACAAGCTGTTTTGAAAATTTGGATAATTCGATATAAAAGTACATTACATAAAAGAGGGATTAATCCCGCGTAGATTAAATCAAACATTTGAAACAATCTTTGTTGTTTTAAATCAGTTTTTTGGCGGTTATTAAATTTCATTCCATTTTTCTTTCCACTAAGTTGCTCGTTGCAAGCAACATGCTCTATTTCAGGAAAAACTGATTTATCCATTTCCATTTTCTCTAGTTAGTCTTTCTGGGAAAATTGAACAACTCGAGAGTCCATCATCTGTCTCTGACTTAAGTGACTTCACAAGACCTGATGAACCTTTTATTTTCTTGAATCATCTCAAGATACAAATCTGGTCCCTATGATTGGGACATTCAAGTATTTCATTCTCTTTTACACTTTTCAGTCATTTCATATCGAGATTTCACGGGTTAAGCATATCCCAGCTTCCTTCCCCTCTGGATTCTTATGGGTATGTCAAGAGTATTCAACAAGACACTGACGCAGGGGCCGCTCTTGGTGATTGAGAAGGATCTTCCTAAAACAGCAGCACTTTGACTGTTTGGATTTGGGACTATGCATACTTGCTTGCTATCACTTAATTCGTTATAACTTTTCACCCGCAAACCTACAATTGCCGCTTCGTTCGCCTTCAATCTTACCCTTCTACTCAAAAACATGGGTGCTTTATTTTCATTTGCCATTATCAGATTTACCGGTTTGATTGTACTTCCTATCCGGGTTCCGAATCCTGAACATGGCGTTGTTTTGATCAATCGTTACGTCGAAATTCCTGATGAAGTCTCTGCCTAACATGGACTGGTATGACTCGTCTAGGTTCTCCACCCCAAGAAAGCTCATCCACAGGTTGCGTTACCCTAGATTTAGGGCTATTATTGACGTTCTGCCTAATACCCGCAGCGCCCCTTTGTTTGCAGCTGACAGCCGTGTTCTTGAGTCTATCAAGTCATCTTTGTCGAAACCCACTCGCTCCCAAGTCTCGATTGGTTTAACACTCAAGAATACCCCGTATCAAGGAACCCGCGTAACTGAGTCTTTAGCCATTTATGTCGAGCACGTGTGCTGATACGTCTGCCTCCGTCCCTAAGTGTATCCCCTTCTAAGAGTGCACAGTGTCCAATCGATCTTACTTTCAATTCTTCTTTGCCCACGTAGATTTGTGCGGCTAGGTCCTCATCACATGTTATCATGGTTTTATTGTAGATGTTTATCCCATCTATATTTAACACCACCTCATGCGGACCATAAGCTTCTGTGTATCTATTTTCAACACGGACTGAATTGCTGCCACCTCTTGTGAGTAGCGCCCTCAAGGCTCTAGAAGTCGTCAAATCAATTTGCACTAATGTCTGGTCGCTGGGTTCGCTCAAATTCCTCGTTGCCTCATGGCCGCCCACAGTGATTATGACATTATCCTGGCACCGATCATTGTTATGCCGAATGGCTGTCCCGTCACCATTTTCAGAGCGTTGCATTTTCCACTCTCTGTCGACTCCGCTAAGGCTTCTAGCACTGGCACTGACCAACTTAAAGTCTCCTTTAACTTCTGCTTTTCGATCTCCTGTTTCAGTCGTTGCTCTATCTCCTTCGTCGCTAGGCCCTGTTTCACTTTGTTAAAAGCCTCTGCAGCTGCTCTCTCAAAACTTGTCTCTGGAGACTTATTGGTAATGGTCTCCATGGCTTTATTGATTTGCGTTACCGCTTTCACCGTTTTCGTCGGTAATTCCGCCTTCGGCGCCTCTTAGTTTCTCGTTTCAAACTCGGCTTGTCTGTTCCTTGTGTTCTGCTCAGCCGCTAATTCTAACTTGTGTTTCGGGTGACTTTATTTTTTTTGCTTCTCAAAATAATGGACAGTCCATCCTAAAGTGGCCCTCTTTATTGCAGAAGAAGCATCTCGCACCTATCTTGATGATCAGGCCCTGTTGAACTCGTGTTCTTCTATCTGGCTCATATCTTCCTCATCCGGAGCATACCCCAGACTCTTCATGCCTTGTTCATACGTCGTGCAGTACGCCACATGATGATCCGCCGATCCACAATTTGCACATGACCTGCGTTTGTCCATATCATCACTAGGCTTATACCATGACGACATGGGTGGTTGACTCCCCCTTGCATGTTTCTGTTATCCGAGTATGAGTACTTCTTGAGTTTCATCAGCATGTACTCTCTTGACTTCTGTCTCATCTCTTCTGGAGTCGATGCAATATCTTTCGACAATGTAAATTACGTTGCCAACATTGATCTCAGGTCGTCACTTTTTCCCCCACGATGAGTTTTGAGGCGATGATAAAATTCCTTCTGTTTGTTGACTCTTCAGGATCACTCCTTCGTCTCAAGCTTTCAAGATCAACCATGAACCGAACAATTGATTCAACGTCCCTTTGCCTTCTCTTTTCAAAACTCATCATCGCTTGGTGACACCACATGCCTGACCCGAATCGACTCAACAATAACTCGAAGATGTTGTCCGCTGTGTCGCGTTCCTCTTCCTTATTTGCAACTACTCATTTCAACGCCGTGCCTTCTAAGTCGCTAATTATCGCTGTGCAGGCTTGTCTCTCGTCGTTCAAGTTGTCTTGTTCCAAATGTAATCTCATGACTTCTACCCAAGTATCAATGCATCCGTCTGAATCATCTTTGAATTATTTCGGCTTCTTGAAAGTTTTCCTGGGTTTGCCACCACCTCTGACGTTCGAGTCGGTGATCCTCGTGGCGAAGGCCTCCAGTGTCCCGTTCATCTTCTCCCAGGTCATCGCCCACGTTATGA